TGCTAAATGATTATAGAACAGCAATGATATTATACTCTCAGCGAAATTTAATTGTACACAACGTAATTGAACAGAACATTCTGATGCCCAGCTGGACTGAACAAATAGTGTTTTACGATAGAAGCTTTTGGTTTTATTAGATCGATCAGGGTGCTTTCATTGTAACTTAAAAGTCTCCACATCCTCCACATTTTATTTCTACAGGGTCTTTTTGTCATGGGGGAATGAATTTCTCCAGTTTTATTTGCTTACATACTAGACAATCAGCGACTTAGGGTTTGAAGGTGCTCACAGTTTGCAACACCACATTGTTTTCTCTACAACTGAATTCCTGCCACAGCCACTTAGTCCCACCCAAAGAGATCAATGAAATATAAAGGCCGTAACCTCTACTCAGTTTAAGAAAACAACAGTGGTATGGATTCTTACAACATACAGTTCAGAATAAAAAACACTGGAGTTTCAGTAGCACTAAAGTCAAAGTAATGGTTTTAATTTAAAGACTTTCCATTTTAATACTAAAAATAATCAGTAAATTTGCGCAGAAATTGAAAATACAATTTCCCCCAAATATATATTTACTTGAGTTATTCAGAAATCCTTACAGGCAAAAGTACAGCTCACCAAATGCAGTAACGAGTACTTAATTTTCAGATATTCCTGTATTAATCAGTTACCATCAAAGACATCCTGGAAGTCAAGATTACTTTGTCTAAAGCCCATAGAATCAATTTTACTCAAGCACTCTCTGGGTGGTAACTGCATAACATTGCCCAGTGAATTGAGTTCCATTAGGAACTTCCATAAAAAAAGGTTTCAGAAACCTTTCCATCTCTGAAGGTAAAAAATGTCCCCACATCCTTTTTGAGTCTAAAGCTCATCATTGATCAGGAGACTAAAGTTCCTGTTGGGATTTCCAAATTGTTATAAAATTGCTACTCCAGATTTTATGAGCAACAGCACTCAATAGAAAATTCACAATGTTAATATTGAAACTCCATTCTGCCAATAAAGTAGGCATTCTTCAAGCTCTCCCAAATGCAGACTGTTTTGCCACATTAAACCAATTTATAATATGGAACCATCAGTATTGGATCGAGATGCCTGAAGTATTATTTATCATTTGTCTTCACTCCTGAAGTTGAGGGAATAAATGTGAACAATGTACACACAATGTTCACTTTTCTTGAGAGATGAAATTTAGTATTTCTTCACAAAACTTTCAACCATTGTAGGACTGACTAACTTCTTAGTAGCTTGTTCATGCAGCACAGTAAAGTCCACCTGATCCTACAGATGTCTTGAATATATAATAATTAATTACAAAGCAGAGAGTCAGCAAGGTAAGCACTGATGGTCTTTCCCCAGTCACAAAGGTTGGGAGAACCACAAATTCAGTTGATTTCAGGAATTGGGTAGCATGTTTAAAAGAAAATATTGCCAGGACAATAAAAGGAATGACTGACCCTTGATTTTTGAAATAGACAAAAATAAATATCAAAATAATTTAACTTTTTTTAATATTCAGCATAGGTGATTTTCTAATAGCACTCATTTTTACATACAAATACCAAATAAAGAAGTTTTGTTCAAAATGTTGATCCAAAATTACATGAGGCACAGTGTCTTATGTTGGGTGGCCAACTTTAGAAAAAACAAAGTCGTTGTGAGAACTTCTGTGGGGAATGTTGATCAAGTCAGTTAACTTTCCTAATACCTGGTTCAACCACACGAGTTTCAAATGTTCATCTGAATACTGAACTATTGCAAGATTTCAAACAAAGTTTTAAAAAAATTGAGAACGCTAAACCCTATAAACATTTATAGATACTATACAATGCATTCCATTGACAGGGGAAGAGAAAAGAGAAACATTATATAACATAAGCTATGTTTGCAATGCTGAGAACAGCATCTGAATCTCTCAATGAAAAGATTCTCTTGTCACACAAGGCCACTATTTTAGTTTCAGTCCTCAATGCTGTACTCATTTAAATGAAAAACAGGATGCATAATTGTCTTCAACTCTGTGACTGACAACAAGGACATTAGCGCAGCACTCAACAGCTCTGTATTTTAGCAGTTTAAGAGATTTTATATTCCAGGCATGCAAAAGAGCAGACAACTTAAACTTTTAGCATTGATGACATTTTGAATATTCTATTATATTACTCAATTTATGACACAGTAATTTCACAGGATTATCCATAAGAAAGTGGCACAAAACAGATGTGCCCAGGGCTAATGACTTTTAAGAATATTTGACCTAAATAGCATGATTCAACAGGTATGGAATGCAAGTACTTTTCCTGCCCTCTGGCTTTTTAAACTTACAGTGTAGTACTATATACAGGCTGGAGTGTTAAAAGATACAAGCAGTGATGTACTCATAAGGGTCTGGTGACCCTAACAAAAGCAAGTTTGAATGGTCTATTAAGATAACGAATAGCATGACATGTATTTCATCCTAGCAACACGTGAACCTACGTTATTCTATACGTTCAGCAATTAGTTGAATTATCGCTCATGTCTCAACCAGGTGAGGCAGCCATAAACATGGGATACGTGATAGTAAACTACTTGATTTTAGACCTTCAGAGTCATGCTTATGGCACACAGCACTCTGATCAAGTCATACCTGGATAACAACAAAATTACACTTGTATAGCGTCTTTCACATCAGGAGGACGTCCCAAGGCGCTCTGTCAGTGTTTCGGACCTGAGCGGGGGGTCGGGATCAGTGAGGGTGGGGCGGGGGGAGGATGGTGACCGAAGGCACAGTCGAAGAGGAGGGTCTTATAGCTCGAGTCAATGCAACATAAAAGGGTTACCCAAGTCCTAGAGAAGCTTGTACAATGTTAAATAGGATACAGACCATAGAAACACAACAATACTTTCACGTACACTAAGACAGTAGGACAAAGCAGTTTTAGTTCAGAGTTACAAATTTTAAGGCCAATAAAGAGAAAAAAGATAGTTAAGAGGGTAATCAATCCCAAGAAAGGATTATCTGGAAGAATGGTTGAGGCCCTTACACTGAACTTTTTCTACTCTGATCGCTATCGAGTGTCCCCTGCTGCAATATGTACAACTGTGGACATCAGATGAGGATAGAACAGCAATCGCCATGGTTGAATAGTCTGCCAACACTCAACATGGAGGTTCAGACATTAAGAATTTAGGCAAGATATTGCACCAGGAAATTTGTCTGTAGGCTTACTCGAACATACCAGTCAACGCCTTCAACAGAGGAGAGAAAATTGAGGAGGTGAAAAAAATGTTTGCAGTGAGAGGTATATTAAAAAAATCATTATAGAATGAAGTGCTGAGTACTGACACGAATGGTGTACAGGATCTGGAACGTTTGCTGTAGTCAGGCGACAGGAATTAAATGACAGCTGTAAAGAGAGCAGTTGTAGGCAGATACTGTGGCTAAAATGCGGCAGCTGTTTAAATGGTACTTCGCAATTTATCAATACAAGTCGTTCAAGAAAAAAAATGTTGCACCCTTAACCACCGTAACCATTTTTGTTTGTTTTTTTGAGGGGGGTGGGACGTAAAAACGAAAACCGACCCAAGTTCAGAAACTCCTTTTAAATCACTTTATAGAGTCTCGTCGAGTCGAAAGGGAGGAATCTTTCCACTATGTCACGGTTCAAAGCAACGTTAAAGGGAAACAAATCGAGAGGTCGGGGGGCAATCATTCAAGCAAAAGAACCCACTGCTGCCTGGAATTAGATCAGTTACCGCTATTTTAACAGTACCAGTCTCCCTATTAAAGTGATCTACACAAAAAAAAACCCTGTCGCCGTCCGGTCAGGCTAACTTTTTACACATTCCCTCCCCAGTGAGTGAGTGAGTGAGTGAGCGTTCTGGGTGGGGCTCACCAGCCAAGTTTACAAAGATTTCTGTCTCAGTTTCGGATTCACGTCGAGAAAAAAGACCCAACATTTTATCATTGGTCTCGATTATTTACTTTTTTTTTGTGTCGTCGTGGGCGGGGGTCATTTTGAAATAAACACAGCGATTTTGAAATGAATCGACAAGTTGATTTTTTTTTAAAAAATATATAAAAAATTTACCGAAAAAAAACACGATGCGGGTTAACAGGCTCTGCCAATTTCACCCCAAAACACACAAACACATATCTATATCTATATATAATAAAAAAAAACCTTTCTAGATTGTCTGCTGTCCTGAAAGTAGGATTAAAAACCTGGGGGGGGAAAAAAAACACAACTGCGATTCCTCTTTTTTTTCCTCTCGAATCTCCTTCCCTCCCTTCCCTCACCCTGTGGGAAGTTTTATTCCGTGGTAAAGGAGAACCCCGCGAGAGGGCTGTTTTGTTTTTGGTGGTGTTGGGGTTAAGTGATTTTATTTTTTTTAAAAAAAACTCAAGAAAACGCTCTGGTCGACAGCGAAAGGGGACACACACACACACACAGAGACACAGAGAGAGACACAGACAGAGACACACAGACACGGACAGAGACCAAAGACACACACACAGACAGACACATATACACACACACACACACACAGAGAGACAATACAGACAGAGACACACACACACACACAGAGACACACACACACAGACAGAGACACACACAGACAGACAGAGACACACACACACACACAGACAGACACACGATAGAGGGAGAAGGGGCGGCAGTAGCCGCAACAAGAACAGCGGCGCCATTTAAAGCAATAAAAAGATATATTCCGCACACAATATATATATATATACACACACACACATATATATATATATAAATAAATAAATAAAACAGCGAGCGGCGCCGCGAGAGAGAGGAGCGGCGGGGGGGGGGGGGGGGGGGGAGAGACAGACACCGAAACCAATGGCTTTGGTCGTTGCGGGTTTGACGAGTTTAGGCCGAAGCCGAGGGTTAGATTATTGCCCCCCCCCCCACAACCCGGGGGGAGAGGGGGTGTAGGTGAGGGGGGGGTGGCCCCCAGACACACCCCCCGGCGGCACTGACCTGGATGAACTGGATGGTGAGGGCGCTCTTGCCCACTCCGCCGCCGCCCACCACCACCAGCTTGAACTTCTCCTGCGCCGCTCCGCCGTCCTTCGCGGCTGCCATGGTAACGGGGAGACGGCCCCGGCCCCGGCCTCTTGTGCCGCCGCCGCCGACCCCCACCAACTCCCCAACACCACCTTCCCCGCAACTCCGGGTCTCTCTCTCTCTCTCTCTCCGCCCCCCCCACCACCACCCCCTCTAAAGACCGTCAGAAAAAAAAACACAAGGCGGCGGCGGCGGCAGCAGACAGACAGACGGGAGGGGTCGGGGGGTCAATTCAATGCCGCTGAGGGAGGGGAAGAGCGGAGGGAAAGGCTCGAGGACCAGTTGCGCTGAACACACTCAGCGGCGGCGGCGGCGCCACTGACTGACTGACTGACTAACTGACTCTCTCTCGCTCGCGCGCGCCGCCCCCCGCCCCCGCACGCACGGCACGCACGCACGCCCCGTCGCGTCATTACGTATGCTAATGACATGCAAATGAGGCGTCGAATATGCATGAGGCTCTCCCCATGGATGGATGGATGGATGGATGGATAGATAGATAGATAGATAGATAGATAGATAGATAGATAGATAGATAGATAGATAATAATCCTTGCATTTGATATAGCGCTTTTCACGTCGGGAGGACGTCCCAAAGCGCTTCACAGAACACACTGTAAAGTGAAGTGACTGCATATTTGTGGGCGAACACGGCAGCCAATTGCGCACAGCGATGTCCCACAAACAGTCGTGGATTGAAAATGACCAATTTTTATTATTGTTTCTGGCTTTTGGAGGGATTATTATTAGGCTCTGTGTGGAGTAAGGAAACTTCCCCGAGGTTTCGCCCTCTGCCTGGAATTGAACTCAGGTCTCTCACTTGCAAAGCGAGTGCTCTCACCACTGAGCTACAGGACTCCTGTATAGATAGATATAGATATATGTATTACTAGCTCCCACCCTCTGGAACTCCATCCTACAGTTCCCCCCCTCCCACCCCTCCCCACCCCTCGCCACCTTCAAGACCCCCCTCATCAACCGGGCTTTCTCCCTGCTTCCCCCCCCACCACACACCCTCCACCTATCCCCCACCCCGCCCCACCCCCCCCAGCTCAGGTCCATAATAGCTCTGTCTGTTCAATGCCTTGGGACATCCTCCTGATGTGAAAGGCGCTATACAGATGTAATCTTGTTGTTGTTGTTGTTCATCTATACTTCGCTGGGAGGACTCCTGTGGGGAGGCCTCAGTGGGAGGACTCCTGGTTGAGAGGTCTCCTGGTTGAGAGGACTCCTGGTTGGGAGGTCTCCTGTTGGGAGTGCATACCTGTATGATGAGCTTGCGGGCTGTAGGCCAGCAGCGCCTTGGGACGTCCTCCCGGGTGGTGAAAGGCGCTTTACCAACGTAATTTTGTATTGTATTTGTATGGCTTTTCTCTGTCGCTACTTAGTTGCTGAATATATTAGTATAGATGTATCTCTCCAGAAGGGTGTGTGAGTTCCTCTGTCACAACTTTGTTGCAGAATGCCATGCATACATACCTCATCTTTTGGGGCTTAATTAAAGCATTTTTTAAATATAGCTCATCAATGATAGGAGATCGCTGAAATAAATATGCCCATGTCACTCCCCCTTTCAAGACCTTTCCGATGAGGTATAAATCAATTGGTTAGACAGACACACAGACAGACATTTAGCCTTTATTAGTATCTCTCTAGAGGGGTGTATGACCTCTGTTGCTACTTCTTTGCAGAATAGCATGCATACATTTTTGGGGGCTTAATTAAAGCATTTTTTAAATATGTTTTTAATATAACCCATCAACGACAGTTATATTCCCATGACGCTTGTCCATGCAAGACGTTCATTCCTCATACCTCATTCCAATGAGGTATAAATCATGTCTGTATGTCAATCGCTTATTGCATTCTTGCCAGACAGACATTATGTCTTTATTAGTATAGATAATAATAATCCTTGCATTTGTTATTGTGTTTTATCATGTCTTCGAGACGTCTCAAAGTGCTTCACAGAATATACTATAAAATGAATTGACTATATATTTTGTCGGTGATATATATTATCATCACCAGCAACAATTCGTTGGTGTTAACTCCATCCATCCACTCATCCCTCCCTGTCTGTCATTGGAGCATTCAGTAATAATAATAATCCTTGCATTTGATACAAGGTCCTTATCGTATCATCGAGACATCTCAAAGCACTTCATAGGAAACACTACTGTACATTGCCTTTCTCCACTTTAACATTGTGTAAGCTTCTCTCAGATTTGCTTCTCTTTTCTCTAGAACTGGCCTGACCTGCTGTGTTTTGCGGGCAAAAGGGATGTACTGTATACCCTGTGAAGTGCTTTGAGACATCTTGATGATGTGGTAAGGCGCTATTATCAAATGCAAGGATTATTTATTATTTGTTTTTTTTTACTATGCAGTAAACTCCTGATAACTGGACGCAGGGTTAAAGTAGTAATAATAATCCTTGCATTTGATATAGTGCCTTATCATGTTGCCGAGATATCTCAAAACACTTCACAGGATATTCTGTAAAGTGAATTAATTGCGTGTTTTGTGGGTGAAACATGGCAGCTAGTTTGCACATAGCAATGTCCCACAAGCAGCCATGGCATGAGTAACCAACTTTATTTGGGAGATTTGTTGGCCAGGATACTGGGAGAAACTTCCTTCTCTTTTTGAACAGTGCCACAGTATCTTTAACATTCACCTGAACAGGCAGAAGGGACCTTATCATCACCTGCAACAATTCGTCTCATTCGACAATGCAACACCTGGCGTGGGTGGAAAGTCTCAACGACAGAGGCAACAGCTTGAGTTTATGTCACCCTTCAAGCGGGGACTCGGAGCGCTCCAAAAGCGGTTTGCCTTTTTGTCTAAACTAAATGCACGGGGCACTGCACATTACACCAAATCGCTTGGAGACGTCTTCCCGACGTGAACGACCCTGTATCAGCATTATTATTATTGTTTATTATTTACTGTTATTTATTATTTGCACAGCACATGATGATTCAAGACCATTTATTAAGACCAGTGGGAGCCCAAGATGGGAGTTTGGGAATAGGGATTTATTTTTGTTTAAGTTTTTCCTCTTACAGAGGGTAGAAATGATCATGACATCAGCTGCGTCCCCCCCCCCACCTCTTTCCCGTATTCTCTTGCATTTTCCTGAAGGCAGTGACTCATGCCAAGCTATCGCTCACACTGCGTCAAAACCTCTCAGTGACAATTCTTCACATATGAACAAAGACAAGTGAATGTCATCAGACTATTTGCTGGAGTGGGTGGGGTACAAGGAAAAATTACAATTGAGCCTAACACTGTCTTCCTATAATAATAATAATATTTTTAATAAGATTATTTAGTATAGCACTTTTCACATTTTCACAGATGGACATCTCAAAGAGTTTCAAACAATTTTACTATAAACTGTAGGTAAAATGCTGCAGATGCTGGAAATCTGAAATGTGACGAAAGGTCATCGACCTGAACTAAGTTAACTAATTTTCCTCCCACCATAGATGATGCCTGACCTTCTGCGTGTTGCCAGTGACTTCCGTTGTTACTATAAACTGTATTGACTGCGGTATTTGTAGGTGAACGAGGCAGTAGATTTGCGCCCAGCGGTGATCCACAAACAGCAATGAAGTGAATGACCAATTATATCTGTGGGCAATCTCAACATTGTTGACTGTAAGTCTGCCACGAAAAGAACATTCAATGCACGCACTTTCTGGTAGTACAGCAGTGGGTAGGAGTTGACCAGGCGCCAGATATACAACCACAAAGAGAGGTTTAAATCACTCTGGGCAGCTCTCAAGTACTTTTCAGGAGCTGCTTACAAAGTATTGATTGGCCAGAGAACCAGCAGCATTGCCTGCCTCATTCTTGGGCAGAAATGATGAGACTGTGAAAACAGGGGGAACTTAATAAGAGGAGAGACAAACATAATTGAGCGCTTAAATAAATCAATGGGCTTTTAATTGGTAATCATGATCACTAATATATCATATTTATGGGGTTACTGACTTTGTTGTGGTCATTTACAATAGAATAACCACACAACATTACATCACGTTGGGAAGACGTCCCAAGGTGCTGCAAAGTCAGGGGTTTGGACCCAAGGCGAGGAGAGGGTGGACAGAGAGCCATTCGGTTTCAATGATTCAAAATTAAAATCACCTCAAACCTTAGAAGTGACGAGCTGGAAACAATTTGGAGTGAATTTGGAGTAAATTTGGACTGTTCTATTCCAGTCATTGTATAAATATTGTAACATTGAGGTATAACGTGCTCTATTTCATCACTGGTTTTTTATTAAGAACTTGTTTTACATCTAGTAACATTGAAAACTAGACCTTAACATTGGCAGTAAAGACCAAACTAATTAACATTTCAAAAATATACAATCTTTCACAACAAACAAATTTGCAGATGATATAGCTACACAATTGCATTAAAGTAGCAACATTACATTTAGTGGGATTTTCTGGCTAATGTGTAGCTAATGTGTATTGTAGGGAAACAAGTTATAATAAACAATAATAATCCTTGCATTTGATATAGCGCCTTATTACGTCCTCGAGACGTCTCAAAGCGCTTCACAGAATATACTGTAAAGTGAATTGACTGTATATTTTGTGGGCAAAACTCAAGTTGTAAAAAAAAAGCCATTCTGTTTCAACGATTCAAAAATAAAATGACTCCAAGCCTTAGAAGTGACGAGCTGGTAATAATTTTGAGGTAGCTGTCTGATTTAAGGCGAAAGAAGCTTAATTAAAACAATGAATTTCTACATTGAGAGACATGCGATAACATCTAAGCTTTCCGAGAGACTTGTAAATTGCTTTAAACTGCAAAGGTGCGAAAAGGTCGTAATTCATTACTTTGTTTGAAACCCCGTTGACACCAAAATTTAAACACTAGATAAAGTTCTCATTCGTTATCTATTGTTTGGTCTGTATGAATTGTCATTGTTTGCGGTATAGCTTCAAGCCCGACCTTACCTAACGCGGTGCAACACTTCATCACTTCAATACATGATCAGCAAGAAAGAAGAGCAAAGTTCCCAGAGATCACAACAGTGATATCACAGCCAGCCCGTGGTGCTCATTCAGTTAATCATTACAATGAACGTCCA